AGCCAGTTCTGAATGACTAGATATCTGATCGAGTATTAAAGTATGTGCTGAAACTGAGTGAAAGGATTGCCAACTAAGTGCTGTTTCTGACAAAATCTTACTTTGCAAAGTTTCCTAATGCCAGTTTTACCATTTTCCTTTGGCAGGGATGACCATATTGCAGCTTTGCTGACAGTGAGAGGTGATGCCAGCAGGGATATGAAGCAGACTATTATTGAGACTTTGGATCAAGGTCCAAGCCAACCGAATCCAAACTATGTGCCAATTTTTAAAGAAATTACAGTTCCTACCCTAACTGTGCCAAAACTTCTTAAGTAATTGACAACTCTGTGTTTGTGTGTCATGAGTGCTCTGGGATCAACAGATTTGAAATATTTGAGGGCAAATTTGGCAATGCTATTTCGAATGAAGTTCAATGTACATTGATACTTGCTAGGCATGTTTCTAAAAACTTGGATGTGAGGAAATGTAAGATTTCTGAAATAAGATGGTTTAAGGGACATGCTTGAAGAACTAAGCTTTTAATGGCATGGGAGGTTTTTTACTGACCCATTTGTTACAGCTGTTTTTGCTGTCAGCAGATACTTTTTTGTTGTGCAGTATGTTTGCACAGTGCACTGCAATGCTATATAAAGATACTTATACCAAAACCTGCAGAGCTGTATTAGTGCTGGATATACTAACATACATTGCTTACAATACTTAAACAGACTCCTTTAGAGCTGTCTTTATATAGCACTGCACTGAGTGTTAAAGTCCTGAACCCACTTTCACATTATATTTTGTGTATGTACTTAATTTGGTGTAAAATAGTTTATTGCAGAAAGCTTAATTATGAAATCAGTTTCCTGAATTAAGGGACTGAAAGAAATTGCTACAGTGCAATTTGATTATAGGTTGAATAAATAAATAAAGACATAAGGTACAATTTTTTTCATTGATTCACTAAAAATAGCACATAAAGCACCACCCGTTCAATAAAATGTTAAATCATTTCTGTGTTCAGCTATGATTCTTTGCATCCTTATAGATTTACAGAAGATGTAAATCTTTTTTCTTGTTGTAAGTGTGAATAAATATTGGATTTAATAGTTTTCTGAACACACAAGATACTGGGTTTTATTTCCACGGTATTTTCAGATTAATCTGTTTTAATTATAAAATAGTACTAGACAATTGTGGGTTCAAAAATACTGCATGAAGGACACAATGAAGGCATTATCTGTTATACTTGAACAGAGCTGTCAGAGGTAAGTCCAAGGAAGACATGAGCCTACATTGTTTTACTTAACATTCTGAAGTTTGTGTATGTAACTCCTTTGGCCTGTGAACCTGCTGACCTTGTGCCACTCTGGCCCTGACACCGACTCCTCAGTAGCCCAGAAGAGATACATGCAAGGTCAGCAGTTTGGACAAAGGATAGAACAAAGAGTGTGGCTTTCTTCACTGACCAGGGGGAGAACGTCCCAAAGGATAAGGACGGTTCAGTAAAGCATCATATTTGTATGTCTGTGCTTGGGAGGTTTTAGTGAGCTCTGGAGGCACTCCAGGTCCCAGGGGACCGTACACTGTTCCTAGAAATTGCAGGTAGGGGGGAAGGGAAGTAGGCTGATTTTTGGACGATTATGTTCAGACCTCAGTAAAGAATTCAGCTAAAACTTACTGAGGTGATACTAACTTGGCTTCCACACAAGTTCAGTCCTGTACCCGAAATTCTAGTCCCATGTGCTTTCGATCTTCACTTTGCGCAAGGGAATCAGTCCATTGGGTTTTGCTTCTCCCTATAGCCTCTTTTTCCCCTGCAGCAATAGTCCCTGCAGAGGCTTGGATATTAAATTTATGCTATTTTCCCTCCAGGACAAGCCACTTCCCCTGAGCGGGGACTTAGCAGGGATCGGTCACAGGGACGGCTCCTGACTTTGCGGGAACCGTCGCAGCGGATGATGGCTCGTGGAGAGGGCGGGGGGGGGGGGGGGGGAGCCGCCACTCCCCGGCCGCGGACGCACTCGGCTCAAGCCGCAGGGGGCGGGGCCGGAGGCCGCAGAATTCCTCTCGTGAGCCGCTGCAGGATCGAACCGGGCGGGAAGAGCTCGGGATTCCCCGGGGCGGGGCGGGGCTCGTGCCGTCACCGCCGCGCTGCGTCACGGGCGGCCCGTGGCGGAAGCGCGAGGGCGATGGCGGCGGGGTACCAGCACCGGCCTAACGGCGGCGGCGGCGCCCCCCTGCCCGACCCCACCTTCCTGTGGAACGTCTTCCAGAGGTGAGACCGCCGAGACAGCCCCCCGGGCGGGGACGGGGGCTGCCGGGGGAAGGAGCGGACGCTGGGAGGTGCCCGGAAGCTGCCGCGGGAATCCGGCCGCCGGCCCCGGGCATCCAGCGGTAAACACCGCGGTGGTGTCCCTGTGGGGGGAACCTCGGGGGGAGCTATAAGAAAGGGGTGAGGAGGAATAACTGCGGCTGAGTTTTAGCTCAAGGGTGAAGGGGATTGATGGGAGCGAGAAGGTAACCTTGAAAACACTGAAGTAATTGTTGACTCGAGGATCCAGAAAGGATTAAGTCTGGAGGATCAGTGCGGCAGTACAGGAAGGCTTGTAAAAAGGAATCTGATAAACGCTTTGTGGAAGACTTTAAAGCTAGCGACAAACTGATAGCTTTAGGGCGAGAGGCCGTGGTCTTAAGCTGCGCCAGGGGAGGTTTAGGTTGGACATTTGAAGGAGTTTCTTCACAGAAAGGATGATTAGATATTGGGATGTCAGTATTGGGCGGAGTCACCGCCCCTGTAGGTGTTCAAGGAAAGACTGGACGTGGCACTTAGCGCCATGGTGTAGTTCACATGGTAGTGTTCGGTCAAAGGTTGGACTCGATGATCTCGGAGATCTTTTCCAACCTAATTGATTCTGTGATTCTGTGAAATACTCTCTTGAATTCACCTGGAGCAGAGGGACCCACAAGGGAGTTAGCAAGCCTGTGTTAAACAAACACACTGTCGAGATTGTAGCAGTAAAGAAGCCAAAGGAGATTTCACGCTTGTGTCATGTCGAGGAAACCAGGGAGGTGCCTACGTTGGATCCTTTTTTATGGGAGATGAGTCAAGACAGATCCTGTGACACTAGTGACAGCAAAAAGAGATTAAGCAGTAGACAAACAGAAGTTGCTAAAACTGGCTAGTATTTACTGAGTGACTCAGGAATGCGGCAGCTTACCTACCCAGCCTTCTGTAAAACTTCATCTGAGCACTCAGAGGGGGCAGGCATGAGGCCATTTCTTTTTTTAAAGAGTCCAGAAAGAAACAGATCAACAATCTGACTTCTGCACCAGGAAAATTAGTAGAAACCATCCTAAATGTTGTAGTTAGTCAGACTTAATGTAGGAGTTGCATGGCTTTTGTTGAAAGTATTCTTGTCTGGAAGACCACTGTATAAGTCCTGGAATATGTTAGATAAGAATTGGATATGGATATGATGGCTAGAACTGGTGCAATTCATATAATTTGTATACTTTCCAAAAAGACTCTCAACAGTATCAAAGGCCTTTCAAGGAATCCAGTAAATGTAGAATGAATTGGAAGGTCCTTTGGTGGGTGGAAAACTGACTGAAGAGTGTATGGTCATCTGCCACACTGACAGATGGAACTGTTCTGGGATCTTCATTCACCTTGTTCAGGAGCAACTGGGGGAAAACAGAGTAGGTCTAGACTAGATATTAGGAAGGAATTCTTCACTGTGAGAGTGGTGAGGCACTGAAACAGTTTACCCAGAGAAGCTGTGGATGCCCCATCCCTGGTAGTGTTCAAGGCCAGGCTGGATGGAGCTCTGAGCAACCTGGTCTAGGGGAAGGTGTCCCTGCCCATGGCAGGGGGGTGGATCTAGATGGTCTTTAAGGTCCCTTCCAACCCAAACTGCTCCATGATTCTATGAAAAGAGGGTGAATGGTCAGATGAGGTTTGCTGATTCCTGCAGTAAGTTAGGCCTATGAAGCCTTGCAGGAGCACCTTACAGTCCTGCCTGACTGGGTACTATCAGCCTGTCATGGCCAGATCGTGATTGCTGTATGACAGGTGAAATCCAGAGTAGGTACCTGATGTCCGTGAGGAAAAACCCATTTTAACTTTACATCATTTTATTTATAAAATGAATGTGCTGTCTGATGATGCTCAGGAGCAGGATAAGTAGGTCACAATGCAGTTTTGTTAAAATATCAGCTTAGGACTTTAGTAGGAGCTCATAAAAGGTAAAAAATATTCAGAATACTGAGAAAAGAAATAGAGAATAAAAAAGGGGAATATATTTTTGTTATTGTAATCTTTACAATTTATGCTTGCAATTTCCATGTTGCGTGTGGCTTACATAATTTTTGAGATGGGGAAGGAAGCAATAGAGTGAACTGAAAATGTTTAGGAAAAGACCAGAAGGACTAAAGGGAAAAAAATCAGCTTCTGCGAAGAGGGATCAGCTGAGCAGGACTCTGCTTTGAAATGGTAGGAATGAGAGAAAAACTGTCAGTCCAAGGGGAAGGTCTTTGTATGGAATGAAGTCCCCACCACTTTCAGATACCCTTCTAAAGAAGGCACTGTCCTGCTTTATTTGGGCAGAAATTACTTAATTCATTAATTTTGGCATAGAACTAGATTCTCCAAGACCGTGAAGACTCAATGGAAGCTGGAACCTGCCTATGCTTTTTCCTTTTTGAACGCCTTTGAGAGGGCTCAAGGCCCTGCAGCTGATTGAGTCTTTCAGTACTTTGGTCACATTAGTGAGTCTCTCCATTGCCAAGATTTTACTGAGGGAATCTGGGTGCCAAACCTGTCGCTCTAGTTTGGGAAACAAACAGCTTACTGCTGTGACATTAAGCATTTGTGGATTTAACTAGCACGGTGTGCTCTGCAGTTCTCTTAAAAATAAATGAATAAAAATACTTTCTTGTGCAGAGTATATCCAAACTGTTTTATTGTCAGTGTGTGTTTCTCTGTGTGTCTCTTCACTCATAAGTAAATCTTGCAGTTTTCTTTGTAGCTTTTATCTTGTTCCAGAATGTCTCCTCAGTCTGAATGAAGGGTTAAATTTGCAGTAACTGTGAATGGTTGACCAAGTTAAGTGCAATTAGTGACTTTTCAGGAAAAGGTTAATCTTACCTGGTGAGTAAGAACCAGAATGTTCAAGTCTTCTGTGAGTGGAACCTGTTAAATTGAGCTATTTAAAGCTTACCCCCTTATATTTTTTCCCCAGAGTTGATAAAGACAGGAGTGGAATTATATCTGATAATGAACTTCAGCAGGCATTATCCAATGGTAAGTATGCAAAGAGCTGTGAGGTAGTTCGTTGTAAACTTAATGTTAAATTTCTTGTGAGACAGGTCACTTGATGCCATCATTTTTGAACTGAGGGATGTTCTTACCACTGATTAATACTATTTAATCTACAGCAAAAGGCTGGGGAGGCGAAGAAGAAAAAAGAACAATCCTCCTGATTTTTTTGTTTTAAATTGAGTATCTATTGTAAATGTTACTGATTTGTATTTTGGGGAATGAAGGCATCCACATCCCTTTTTTTTTTTCCCCCATCTCTGCTTCCTGGAAATCATAACCAGTTATTTATATATTCCTCACTTATCACTACTGAACCTTTGCTTTTTAACCAGGATCAGTGTATAACCTGGACAAAGATTATCTGTTTACAACCAGTCTTTTTACTACACATAAAATCTTTTCATACAGTATGGTGCAGGAATTAAAGATAGTAATTCTTTTTTTTTTTTTCCCCCAAATGAGGCATATTTGAGGTTTTTTCCTAACAGAGTAGAAAAGTGCACTCTAGATCTAGTACTAAAACTTTCTAGTAGTCTGTGAGTTGCCTGTATTAATGCTAAAGAGTAACTAGGGTATGGTCAAATAACTCATGGAAGCAAAATTAAAAATGAACTTTTTTTTCCAGTAGCCTATTTTTACTTTCCTCTCATGACTCAGTGTGGGTAGGGTTGTACTTTGTGGGTTGGGTTTGTTTCCACCTAGGAATCTGAAAAATGGCATATTGAGGTTGTTTATGCACCTTTGAGTTCATATCAAATCTCCCAAGGTTTAATTCCTTTGTCCTTCCTGTGTTTTGTGACTTGACAACAGTTTAAACTGATGTGAGCTGCAGTGCACACAGGCTGAAAGGCCCCTTGTTGTCAGTAATTGCCTGACTTAAAATAAATTTGGATGGCTCTATTTAGTAAAATTGCACTCTAGTAACTGAACTGGATTTACTAGAATATTCATTTAATAATGTATCTGAAAAATTAAAAGCAATGTATTGTGCCTGCCAGACCCGATCCATAACTAAAATACTATTTTGAATAAAAGCTAAGTTAAATTGATTAAGTCACCATTTTCACTTAAATTACACTGGTTTAGAACTGTGGGAACCTGGCTTTACCTGCCATTTTAAACTTCATATAGTTTAAATATCTTCTCATCTGATTAAATTTAAGAGTAATAGGCAGTGATGACTATCTGAACTCTTTTCTTTCCTTATTTGCAGTGTAGATTAGCAGTTGCAGTGCTTTGCAGTTATGAAGAATGCCTGCCAAGTGTTAGACAAAATATTTACAGAGCTGTAAGCTTCCTTCATTCCAAGAGATTCTATATCTTGTGCACCAAAGTCACTAAGAATTCACTATATTCTTTTCAAAACATATCCTCTAGTGGAAGGTTGTGCATAGCCGTCCTGCAATCTTAACATGGGCTAAAAGAATGTTATGTGTTTATTTCTAAAACATCTTAAAAGGTCTGCATAGTGCTCATTAAAATTTGAAGCTCAGTCTGGTTTTGACATTTTGACTTTTCAACATGTCAAGTTTAAGCAAATAACAGTATGGTTATGTGGGAGGGAGTGATCATCTCATTGTATAGCTGTTTCCACAATAAAATCCTGTGCTTCCTTCTTGTTTTCTTCTGTACTGCTGTGTGAATTAATAGTAGAGTCAGGAAAGGAGGCAGGAACAGTCTTTCACTGTTGGAATAGGCTGAAATCAGTACAGTTCTTTAGCTCTGGAGTTGCTTAGATTTCACTCTGTGGCATCTATATGAGTCTCTTGAATATTCCAACGTGAAATAAGTTAACTTATTTCACTTTTTTTCACTGTATTTTCACTTTTTCCTCTTATTCTGTTTAGAGTTAAGTGCTGGCACCCTATTAATAATGCCATTATTTTTTATTTTTGTCAGGAGACATACAACTCTAAGGTACTGCTGTTCTCTGTCTGAAATACTGCTTAAGCATTTTCAGAGCCATCTTTTCTCTTTCTCTGCTTATGTTTCTCTTTATGTGCAAATAGTCATATGTCCTGCCTACAGTACAGGGTTCTCCCCCATTGCTGCACCTATAGACTTACACCACTGCAGCTTGATCCAGCGAAGCTCAGTACCAATGCAGCCCTCCTCTTAGGTACCTGTGGTCAGCTACTGCGTCACTGCCAACACCTCTGCAGCGCCCCTCCTCTCACTGATTCCTTTACTCCTTGTCTCACTGATCCTTTGTGGTCCCTGCACATAACTGCAATTAATTTAATATCTGCTGCTTCATCCTCCTGGTTCCCTCACAGGCTCTAGAGAAATGGTGGTGAAATTCTAGATGAGGCACAATATTTCTCTTAATTTAAAGCTTAATGCTTCCTAGCACTCGGGAATGCTCTCAACCAAGTGGAAACTATTCCACAGCAACTAGCCTCTAAACACTCAAAGTACAAAGCTCCTCTTCAAATGATTACTGCTCAGGCAGCAACATTTCTTGTTCTGAAAATACTAATTTAAAACATTTAAACTAATGTCTAATCGATCTAGCAGTGGAGGTGGGATAATTCTAAATTGCACTGTGTTATGCCATTTTAGAAACCTCTTCTTTTTATTTCTGTCAGAAACTAAGTGCCCTGGAGCAGTCCTGTAAAACAGGAAGTGAGCGGATGGGTTTTTACTGAGGAACAGATATGAGACCTTGATTGAGTTGTAACTTAAAACTCTTTTGCTCCCATAGTAGAAAATGATCTTGCCTTCTATCCAATACTTCCTGACAGCCTGGGATGAAAACATCCTTCTTAGATCTTCCAGCATTTGTTAGTTTTTTTTTGTTGCAGACTGAAAAATGTTGGTTTCTGTGTAGTTCTCGTAAAGCATTGGTCTGAAGTCATCTCTGAATGGTCAAGAACATAATTACTTCAAAGCAGCCTTATTTTGAATACGCCAGCTCCATGTCATCTAGCTCTGAATTCACTTCTCATAACTGAATTTTTTGTTTGGTTTGTTGCATTTTTTTAAAATGTTGCTTAGCATTGAGGAACTAAGTAATTCTTTCTGTTTCAGGCACGTGGACTCCATTTAATCCAGCAACAGTCAGGTCAATTCTTGGTGAGTGTAGCTGTGTGATGTGAAATAGTGAAGATACTGTTTTGTGATCATTCAGATGATTGAAAATGCTATCAATTGCTGCACTGTTTTTTTTTTCCTCAGAGTGTCCAGCAGTAGTAAGTTGAGTTCAAATATTTTCCCTTTTGATGAATACAGGGATGCCCTTTTTGTGCACACATGTGCACTTGTCGAAGTAGCCTGAGAAAATTTACTGACAAACTGAATAGATAGTGAATGTAATTTATGCATGGGGAAATTGTCATATTAAATATTCTAAAAAGATATTATATAGCTTGTCTTTGTAAGTAGTTTTTCCTGTCTTGCATTTTAATCCTATGTTTCACTCCAGAAATACCAAACACAAGCTTTAAAATGTTTGAATTCTCTTAGGTGTCCTAAAATAATTGCCAATAATGTGGAAGATGATGGTTGTAGAATAGAAGGATAAAAATTCAGGCACAATAACTCTTTTCTATCACACAGTTCATAAATCCAAGGACTAAATTTTTTGCTTTGTTTTCAATAAGTATTCAGCTCTGAATTCCACTGCTGTGTGCCATGCATTTTATATAAAGATGACAGTATCAGTAAGTCAAATGCAGGTGAATATTCCAGCACTTGTGGCAGCGAATAGACTTAAGACTTTTTAATGTGTCCTTAGAAAAGAACAACCCACCCCTCTGGCCATTTTAATTGATCACTGGATGATCAATCAAGCCCTCAATATTTTCAAACTGAAAATGAAAACCCAGGAAAAATAAACTTTCTGCAATTCATTCTGGTCATCTTTCGTCTTCCTTTATCTTTCTCTTTCAGTGGATGACTACTTGCTTTTTCTTGGCAGAACTTTCCAAAATATCACTTGTATTTTAGCAATTTCTTTTCTGTCTTCAGCTCTCCACAAAGTGCTCTTGCTGTTTTCTTAAAATACTGGCAAAATCCTTGCTGAGGAGTAGTATGACTAAGGTTTTGTATGGGTTTCTTATTTTTTATTTCAGGGATGTTTGACAGAGAAAACAAAGGTGGTGTGAACTTCAATGAATTCACGGGAGTCTGGAAGTACATCACAGACTGGCAGAACGTCTTTCGAACGTATGACAGAGACAATTCTGGAATGATTGACAAAAATGAACTAAAGCAGGCACTAACAGGTTTTGGTAATTCATTTGTAATTACAGTTTTTATGATTGGGTTATGCCATCAAATGAGCTTCTTATTGTTAGGGCTTTACTGCTCTGACAAATGTGACTAAAAATGAGGCAGGTGAAGGGCAGCTACCTTTTTAGGTGTAAGGTTCCTTTTAATGATGTCCGTGCCACAAGCACATTTTCTTTTTTAAACTTGTTTCCTTTAATGAAAAAAAAAGAAAACATCCCACGCATGTACTGACACATCCAGTTCCAGCCTCCTCTCTCTGCTCCGAGAGCGTTACCAGCGCTTCAGGCAAATGTCTGAACTTCCAAGGTACTTGATACAGCTTGCCACTTTTTAAAACAAAGCCAGCTGTCTATGCTATGAGAGCATTCTGGTGGCAAAAGAACTTCCATTCCAGTGACTTCACTTGTAAAGACTTGAGCTGCAGCCCTAAACCGTTCCCTCAACCAACTAGTCACCTTAATCAGTAATTAAATTTACTGTGACTCTGGGTATAATTATTATTAAGCATGGGTTTTATCGCATGCCTTTTTATAACAGATATTTAGAAAAAAAATCCGTTTTAACTCCTCACTGTTTTCTCATTTAGTGACATACGCCTGTTGAACAGCCTTGTTGTTTCTATAGAAGGACTGTGGTATTTGAAACCTTTTAAAGCATTTCTCTTTTTCCAAGGTTACCGACTGTCTGATCAATTCTATGATATCCTTATTCGTAAATTTGACAGACAAGGAAGAGGACAAGTTGCTTTTGATGACTTTATTCAGTGCTGTGTTGTTTTACAGGTAAGAAATGAGATGTGCTTTAATGCCAATTAAAAAAAAATTACCTTTTCTTAAGCTTTTATGGTTCTCACTTTAACAGTGGATCTAGAATAAACAAATGGTTTATTTATAATAAACCATTTGAACTAAGTATACGAGAGGAGCTAGAAACATCTTCACATATTGGTCTTCATTACTTATCCATTTGCATCACAAGTAAATTTGATAAAATTGGGAGGGGCAAAAAAATGTAAAGTAGTCTCCATGTTTTAAAAGGAAAACACCTAACACTATCTCCATTAGTTTAATACACACACTTCTTCTGGAGCTTGAGTGTCTAAAGTGGAGTGTTCTTGTCCCATGGTGCCCATAATTCTCATAATCTGAATTACAACTTTTTTGTGTATCTCTGTGTTTAAGGCTCTGATTAAAGGAGTTTGACCTAGGAGCTGAATTACTCAGTCTTTCATCACAGCAGTACCTTCAGGGACAACGGTAGTACAAGACATTTCAAACAAACAAACAAAACCCAAAAAAATCTTTGAGAGAGAGTACTGTAGGTTTGCAGGTGTATTTCTTTGTTTAGAAATCAGTCACTGGGTGATTCCTCACCTCATTGCTTAAGGTTTCTCAAAGCTTACTGACTTTTCTGAAAGGTATGTAAGATTTTGTGGAAAAGTTGGGAAACTGTAGGAGTTTTAGTAGAATAGGAAAAAGTCTGCTGCTCTTTCTGCTGGCCAGCACTGCCAGAATATCTTAAAGATATTTTTTGATATGCAAACATGAAGGGAAAGCAGTATCCTGTAAAAGTAGTATCCCTGTTATTTGCACTCAGGTGTCTTGTGTCTTGTTCTTCTCCTTTTAGCTTTATGTCTGTAACTGTAAGTCTGCTGAAACATCAGTTGCCTTGATACCCAAGGCAATTATAATTAGTTATAAACTTGAACTCTAGTAAAAAGGGCTTTGAAATGGAGTTTCATTCAGGTGATATTACTGAAACCATGCTGGTAGTTATTCTGGTCCACTGTATGTACTGCCTGGCATCTCCGGGGTTATACAGAGACAGCTCAGATACCAATGACACACAAAGCATATTTGCCTAGAAGGTGAGAAGTGCACAACGTCTGTGTTGGATTCTGTTTCCAGATGACTCCCAAATGTACCATTTTTTCACCCCCACTTTAAAGCCAGTTATAAAAAGCTGTCTGGTCTATAAAGAAGTGCCTAGAGATAGACTTAGGTGTTGTATCATTATTGGCAAAGAGCTATATTTATACACCCAAGACTGTAAAATGGCTACAGAAGGGATAAACAGAAAGGGTTTCACAGAGGCGTAGAAGCCAGGTGGCAGGGGGAATACATAGCAGCCTGAACCTTCCCAACAAACAAAAATGTATATTTTTTTTCCCTCCTCCTCAGAGGCTGACTGATGTGTTCCGACGATACGATACTGATCAAGATGGCTGGATCCAGGTGTCCTATGAGCAGTATCTTTCCATGGTCTTCAGCATTGTATGACACTGATAACTAGGAATTGCACACTGGCATTACACAGACTGGAGTTGCCAAATCATCCTGTACTGAATATGATTATTGATGTATTATAATGGATGTAACTTCGCGTTCTTAAATTTTGTATGTTGGTCATCACCATCAGAATCTGTACTTGAGTTGGTTTTTATTTTGTATTATTGTACAATATGACCATCTCTGCTTATTGTAGTACAGAAAGCACAGAATCTCGATTTAACTGGTGCGATGTCAAACTTAACCTATTTCACATATCCTGCATGGGAAAAATGACTCTTTAGAAATGCCAAATTAAAATAATGCTTGTTAGTTTATAAAAGAGTTGGAAGTCAGAAGTTGCACAACATGTTTTGCATGTGCCTTACTTTTATAAGAGTTTAATGTATTAATTTTTAATACAGAATTTAAAATTAAGTAAAAATATTGGATCAACTTTTGTAGTCTGTTTCACTCTTGTACAGCTTTAAGGGGGTGGTGGCATTATTTCTGTATTCCTGTCGTTCAGAGATGTCTCCCACTGGGATGGCCTGTTTTTCTTGTCTTTTATTTTTCAGCTGCCTCCTTTTTTCAGCGTATCCTTGGGCAAGCTTCAAATACAACTTCTTCATACCTGTGTTCATTACTGCATCTTCCTTGATAAGTTCTGCACAAAAAAGAACTCTGACTACTCTGAATGTGTTCCCTCTGCTTAGTCATCTCATTTAACATCAGCACTCTTCCATTTTGTGCTGAAGCACTTATTTGAAGTGGCCTTGAATTGACAGTCAAACACACTCATAAGGTTACCAAACATCTCACCATTTACAGCTGATGAGAGAGACAGTGGAAAAACTGAAGCAAAACAATTAATGACTGTGTCATATACCATCTCCTGCAGTAACTCTGCAAGCAACTTGGAGGAAGCAAAGACAAGTTAACAAAAAAAGTCAAGGTTACGATGTTATTTCCAGGTGACCCTGAGATTAGCTCAGTTGGTTAAAGCATCTTTGGCCCTTGTGGGTCCCTTCCAACTCAGAATATTCTGTGACTGTGTCTTAGCCAAGATAAAGTGTCTAGTGTCAGGGTGAAGACGGCAAAGTGGCAACTGTGCAGTTGTCAAACATCTGTCATGCAGAGAAGCTGCTACTAGTTATCAAGTGATAATCAATCAGACCCTTAGTGACAGTTCAACAACACTCTGAACACTCTTCTGGTGTGAAATATCTGGGACGTGACCAATGGTCTCCATAGCATAAGCCCACCAAAATAAGGAATTCTCCCAAAGCACTTAGGGCATTGTCACCCAAAGGCCAGTGGTTTTTTGTGTGAAGAGAGAGAGCAAGAATAATGGCCAACGTCAGAAACCACCTCACCCAACAGCCTTGAATGAACTGTGAAAGTTACTTTAAGAAGATAAGGGAGAAAGACTTCCACCAGTTACTGCTTGAAACTTCCCTCCCCAGAAGGCTGAGATGATCACAAGATATGTTCTCTTCCAAAAAACATTAACAGAAAAGCCCCAATGTTTTGGGCTCAAAAGAACTTGCCCATTCCTTTCCCACTAAGGAATCTGTCCCTTAGGATCATATACCCACATGAAATACAGTAATTCTGGGAAATGCTTTGAGGAGCATTAATAGGTCTAAGGTACAAAACTAAAAAAGCTGGAATCTGACAGACTTCCCCAGTTGTCTTGTCTGAAGGATGTGTCTGTGTCCAGCTGGCCCTGTTCTGCTTCACTGTCTTGCATGCAAAACAGCTGGCTCCAGCACTCTGTGAAGGAGCATCACTGCTGCAAAGAATCACCCAGGTGGCTCTGGATTGAAATAACTCTGGTCCCAGTGGATAACACGCATCTGAAGGTATGAAAGCAGGTACACCACAGACCAAGAAATGGCTGAAAAGTAGACTGTTTACTCCCCTCGTGCATGTTCTAGTCTGGATTTTTATCAATGGCTTTCTAAGGAAATGTGAAATTGATGCAAAGGGCTCAGGTGCAGCCTCAAAACGCCTCCATGCCAAAGCCTGTGATGTAGCTGGTTTAGTGCTGGCAGGTGGCAAGCACCCAGTGCTGCTCTGCATGCTGTCAGTGCCTACTTTGTGAAGGTTTCTTGAAGAAGAACTGGAGCCTGGAGAAACAGGAACAGGCAGAGGAATCATTCTATTCCAGTTCTATAGTACACGGGAGCAAGATAAGGCAAAGGGGTTTCTTGGGAGTATGGAGTAGTCAGTAATTTATAGCTCAGGAAACCTTTAGTAAATCAATGCTCTCTTAACTTAGTCACTACTCCAATTCCGTTTCAAAGTGGAAGAACTGTTTCCCAAATGCAGGACTCTGCAGGGCCAGTAACTGCTGCTCAGAATGAAAAATACGAAGGGGGAACGTGTAGGTGGAAAGAACATCTAATTTGGGCAGAGATCACCCGGCTGCTGTGTGCCAGTGGGGTGTACAGTAAAGGCATAAAAGCCCAAAGGGTGTGAGAAATGGGGAAGAAAGAGCTTTCTACAACAAGCTCAGATGAAAAGGTCTTAACTTGAATTGAGAGTTGCAACAGTAATATTTTCTAGCAACAGTTTTTTCTACAGTTTCAGAATTTTAGTTGCACTACACTTTCTGTGGTAGTAACATATGTAAATAATTTCTGATAATTTTTAAATGTAGATAATAACTGATCAGTCCCACAGAGTTTTAAATCAAAACTCTGGCAGACACCTGTGGTAGAAAATCATACTTTTCCCCTTTAAGCAAGAAGGTTGACTATGGAATTCAGTGGATTAAAAAATGTATGACACAACTACTAAGTGTATGCCATTATAAACCACTCAAACACACCAGTAAGTATGAGAGGAAATAAAGAAAATAGTGAACAGGAATGCAAAAGGAAAGCACATCTTTTCAGATGCAGAAGCAAAATAATTACAGAAGGACAATTTTAGGGAATTGAGTTTGTATGCTCAATAATAAATTGCTTTGAGTTTTTGTTAAAATTTACATGACAAGATCTAAAATGTATTTTGTCAGTTCATGAAGACTAATCCTGCTTCAGCACAAGTATTTAATGCACAGACACAGTTTAGGTATGGGTGAGAAGAAAAATGATAGTCCACAACACAGCAGTGAGAAGGAAAATGGACACTGGGGAGTAAAACTGTCTCACTTTACTTTTTTATTTCAGCTCCATGTAAGGTGGTTTTAATTACATAAAGCAGACATCTAAAGCCAGGAATTCATCAGCATGTGGCCCAGAAGTGTGGGGAAAAGAAAAAAAAACACAGACCACTGATAAACATCATGAACTGGTAAGTATTCCTCAGTTAGTACAACATTTTGATTATTTTTTCCTGTTATTTTATCTGATTGCCTTATAGATTTTACTATTTCTTAATAAGCTTTTGCCAGTAGAAAGAATGAAGAATTTTTATTTTAGGATGGGTCAATCCATCAAATGAGTTTTTAAGTCAATTTGTAACAATTTCATTCAGAACAATATAATAAAATTTGCATATATTTCACACCTTTTTACTATGCAAAAATGAAAGTAATATGCCATATTACGTACCAGTCCTAGAATAGATTACATTTTCTTCATATAGCATCACATTAAGACAGAGAATTCCTTTGCTGTGACATTCTTTGTCTAAACAGAAATGTAGTGTATCAATTTCTAAAAATATGCTAATTATAAAGTCTCAAATTAATAGAATTGGCCTTACATTTATGTGAAGAGAAGTAAACCTGTATTTTTAATATTCTTCCCAAGTAGGTAACATAAAACTTCTTTTTTCTTTTTTTCTGAATTGGGAAGGGTGTTAAAAGGTTTAAAAGGTCTTTTTGCTGATGGAATAACTTTAACATATTTTCAAAAAATAACAAAAGATTTTTTTCTGGAGTATACTAAGATGTAACAAATACATTACAAAAAGCCTAAACAAAATAGTATGTTCATCCGTTATGTGCAAGTTTGTGTTCCAGCTACATTTTACATGTTAAAAAATTAAACCCTACCTCCCTTTACCCTTCCAAAACCAGTTAAACGCAGAATTAAATGCAGTCTCTTTCCTGAAAGACAAGAGATGGAGACTCTTGAATCTCTTCATCTGTTTCCATTTCAGCTGTTGTTGCTTCTTAATCTTTTCCTCTAGTTTCTACTAGCACATTGACTAATGTCTGAATATTTAGTTCTAGAAAGGGGAGATAAAGACATTTAAAGTTACTTTTATTTCATCATATTTTACATAACACAGCATAGAAAATGTTAAAATGAAAGTTTTCTTATTAACTAGCTTCCTAGTTAATTAACTAATTCTAGTAACAGAACCATAGTTTGCATTTGTCCAAATGACAGGTATACAGTAGTATATGCCCACCTCCTTTTAATCACCTCTCATAATCTATTTCCAAAGGAGAATCTATTATTTTTAATACCATATAACTATTCTGAACATTAGGGACTATTTCTACAACAATTAGAAAAAAAATAAATTGTCATATAATGAACCAGGTCTTTGATAACATTTACGTTATCCCAGTGGATTTGATCCATTTGGATTATTTATTATAATGCCATCCAGGTTTGGTTCTGCATGCATTACAATATGTTTTTCTTTATGCCAATACATTCCCTAGACTAGATTACATCTTCCTCATACAGCACCACAGTAAGACAGAAAATACATTTGCTGTGACATTCTCATTTCTTTGTCTAAACAAAAATGCAGTGTATCAATTTCTAAAAATACGCTAACAATGTAAGTGTATTGCAACATAACATTGCGACCCTAACAGTACAAACTCATGATATAAAATGCTAGTTAGAAAGATGACCTAGGACAAACCTTTCAATTCAGAAAATTTTTATTCTATCAAAATTCCCTCACACTGACTGCTCTATTTAGTTACCAAGAAGCACAGTGTCCTCAGAGAGGCAATACCGCCTTTCTTCAGCTGATACAGACCCTGAGCAAAAAGAACTCGACTCCCCTGAACAGCATGTCCTGTCTATGCAACACACACAACACACAATCTCCTGCCTATGTTAAAGCAACTACGTTGACGTAACTCATTTTATATGCAAACTAATCGCAATCTTACTTTGAAGTACTGGATAATATGGAGCCAACTGTTTGAGCCTCCTGGTCATTGTAGGTATATCCTTTCCTTGTAGTCTGTTCACAGTGTTGGAAGCAAGACCAACATCATCTTCGTCAAACATCTTATCTGAGCCTCTGAACTGCTGGTAATCCCTGTATGAACCACTGCCAGAAAATGAGTCCTGATGTGAAGTCCAGTCACTCTTGTAGCCTGCTTTCTGATGCCTGAATCCTTGACAACTTGACTCCTGGTTCCAGCTAGACTCCTGCTTCCAGCTAGAGCTCTGGTTCCACCTAGAGTCCTCATTCCACTCATTCCACCTGATGTCCTGGTGCCACCAGGAGCCACCTCTTCCTGAAAC